CCGCCACGCTGCGGGTAGAGTCCGAACCAGCTGGTTCTGACTAGAGCAACTTCTGATTATTCAGACGCCTCACATGGTTCAAACTTGTTGTTGACTCGCCGCTCCACAGTACTTGACCTTTACAGCCAAACATCCCACCGGCAATCGTATGCGCTACCTAGCATTTAATCGATTAATGTTTCAGTTATTATTATTATTCACAAATATGATGTCCTCCCCCTCATCAAGTCGACCATCATGAAGAAATTGGAGTACCCGATGGCGCTAACAACCCTGGATGCCCAGCAATGGACAGACATTATGTCTCCGGTACTTCAAGTGTGCCTTCCGAAGGCAGGTGTCTGTCGTAATTTCCCTCGGGATGTCATATTTGCTCCGCTGTCCTATCACAAGGCCCAAATGGTTGCTAAAGCTAAGGACTGGACAGACGGTAAAGCTAAGGACTGGGCAGAACAGCTTCGACCTAACCTGCTTCACAAATATGATGTCCTCCCCCTCATCAAGTCAACCATCATGAAGAAATTGGAGTATCCGATGGCGCTAACAACCCTGGATGCCCAGCAACGGACAGACATTATGTCTCTGGTACTTCAAGTGTGCCTTCCAAAGGCAGGTGTCTGTCATAATTTCCCTCGGGATGTAGTATTTGCTCCGCTGTCCTATCAGGGTCTTGGACTCCCACATCCGTTTGGTTGTCAAGTGTTTAAGCATCTTGAGATGTTGCTCCAACATATGGCCAACCGGACCAAAACCGGTGACTATATGGAGGCCAACATCCAAGCCCATCAACTTGAAACGGGGACGTCCTTTGGACTTTTGCAACAAGTCTACACCAACACGGCGATCCTTGCTTCAGACACATGGATGAAACGAGTCTGGCATGAGCTTGAAGGCTTGGACATCTATGTCGCCTACGACTCTCCAGCCCTCTCCCTTCGCTGTACGGACGACTCCCTTCTGATGGATCTCTTCATCAACTTGGAGGTTGAACAGGAGGAACTGTTATGGCTCAATTGGTGTCGAATGTTCCTCCAGGTATGCACAGTGTCTGACATTGTGACTGCTGATGGCAGCTTTATTCGTCGCTCCGCGTGGAATGGGCTCAGGGATGAGTGCTGCCGCTCGCCATACCAATGGCCAAGGACAGTTTGCACAACAAGGCAACACTGGGACCTGTGGCAGACCACCTTGTCCAGAGCCCTGCTTGCCTCCAACGGGCCACATCACCCACTACAACAGCCCTTGGGGCCATGGACTGACCGTCTGGAGGACTGGAATTG